ATAAAAACTAAAGCGGAGTTGCATATTCTTTGACCCGTGATACGACATTACAGTTCAAGTGACAAATGTCACATTTAGTCGACTTTACAAATAGTAGCACCGAGCAAGGGGAAAAAAAAAAAAAAAGGAGGCTAGGTTCTCACATAACACGACAGTTCACACAATGGGTGGATCAATATTGACTATAGAAACACAGATCCATTCCAGATACTAGGTTCACTCTCACCCATCGCACTCTCAAGTAAACCACACGCTTCGCTTCGCTTCTCACAACTGGTTTTACACCAAACACTATGGAGCACAATACGAAACACTTAACCCGTGACAGGAAAGCTTAGAGGCAAATCGATTCAACTGTTAAAACGTACATCTACAATGCTTAACAGATTGTAATGCAAGCCTACTTTAGGCCAAGTGTGTCAAATGCAAATGTAGGACATTTTGAATATTGCATTGGATTCTCTATTAATCGCTACCGTCATAAAAGTAGCATATTTTCACATTGGATTTGTTTTACACAAAAAAGTATAGATTATCAATTATGTTGAGCGACTAGTTGACAAATCGTTGCAGCTCTACTGCGTATTGACACGCTCTAAAGGCTAAAAATTGTTAAAAAACATGTTTTGTGCATTAATTCTTCTTTTGAATGGCCTTATGTTGAATGCAGTAAAAAAAAAAGTCTGCCGTGTACAATTGCATTGATAAGACATTTACAATCAATGACTACCATCTGGAAGTCAGGTCATGTGACGATGTTCTTCTGCAGAGCTACCGACCAGCGCTCAAACCAGCCCAACCCCCGTCACTTAGGGAGAGCGTCTTCAAATAAATCCCAACCTTGGGGGAAACGCTGTATAATGATTTAACCTAGAAAAGGTGCTCCAGTACCTAATGACACCAACTACATTATGAGGCTTAATATGGACTCACCGCTGCACTAAAGGGTATTAAGGAATGCATTCGCTTCTCATTTAGCGTGCGATATAAGTGCATATGGGGGTATACATTCACCCAAAGTAAATGGCTTCACTCAGGTGCTTTTGAGGTGTCTGAAAGCCTTCAAAGCACCAGCTATGTAAGGATACTAGCTATGTAGTAAGGATATGGGCTAAATCCTGTTTTACTTTGCCATCAGCTGGTGTGAGGCCATGAGATGATGGGGGCCTTACAAAGCCAACATAATCCCCTTGTCCTGGACTAATCTGATGCCCTGGACCTCTAAACAAACACTGTTAAATTCTCTTCTTCCACGCCGTTTCTTTGATATCCATCCTGATGTGGAACAGATTTTTCAAAAAGGGTGAAAGGCTGGTCAAAATTAACACTGAACTTCACTAAATCACCATTTCTGCAGATCCATGAGACTCAACACTTCCTTCCAGCAAACACAAGCAGCTCAGTTATCACAAAAATCTAACTGGTGAATGAGGAAATAGTCGTTTCCTCAAGTGGTGTTGCTCTCATATTCACCCCCCGGCTCTAATCCAAGCGTTGGGCACATCTACACATCTCTGACAACTATAACACGTCATGTTATTGTGTGGAGCGTAAGAGTCTTACATTTCCCTTTCACTTCACAACTGATGGCTCTGTCAGATTGTATAAATGTGTCTGGCGTGCTACAACAAGGCTCTTAACACCCGTTACAATGATTAAAACAAATTACTGCTAGGAAAAAAAGGCGATCGAATAGAGAAGAACCGCTTTTGAAAAGGTAGTCGACTGGAAAGGGAACAGCTCTGTCTTCACAGTGAGCTGCTATGGAAGAAAAGATAGAAAAATACAAATGTTTGCTCTGAAGAAGTGCTATGATTATGAACAGGAACACCAGTGTGCCAATTGTTATTTTACCGGCTACACAATTTCAGTTTTAGGTAAAAAAATGATCTGGTCTTTTATTACTATTGCTTATATTGATTTCCTTGTGACGAGTACACAATAAGGATACGTAATTATAGCCTCAACGTAAAAAAATACCCTCAAAATGTATAAAATCAATAGAAAAAGAGTCAGTAATGAATCAGCACTGACCAAACACCCTTACAGGCTAAGTGAAAGCCTTGAATCATTTATGGGCACAGCTGACCTATTACAGTAGCTCTAGTAAAGGTGATTGTCTCTACGGTCCCTGCAACAAAACAGCCTTTTTTGGTTGGTGGAGTAAAATGGTGAAATGTCCCAAATACTGAAACACTTTATTATTGTTTGAGACCCACACAGTTAATTTAGTGTTATTGAGGTTCTGTGTGATCATTTTGTCTACCGTGTTGACATTACTTCCTGTAAGACGCCTGAAATCATTAACAACTACCAGGTCTGGAAACAATGGCTGCTACAGCATAACAAAGCTATACGTGTAACCAACCGACCTCTGAGATAAAGCGTTAAGTATTACCAAACTACACTAAGATTATTCAAAATACTGACTCAGCAGTGTTTATTGCATGACAAAGGGGATTAACGGTACAGTTATTACTACGGTTGTGTTTAGGAGGGTTACTATCTCATATTTACAGTATGTTAAGGCTTTCCTTTATCAGTGCCACCAGCTCGGAGATATTACCTCACCCTGACAACTAAGCTCCCAAACTGGTGTTTAACATTAACCAGAAATGTTTCAAGGCCCTTTAGAAACAAGTTCAAATGTTTCACTGCCAAAATACTCAAAGTTTCCTTTCAACTATCATTTGTCAAGATCATTTATCAACAAACAGCACTGAAAGCAGGCGATTCAACATTTCCGCAACCCACTTATTGAACAAACAAACCACCGATTACATTGAGACCACATATCATGGCAGCTCTCACCTTCGATTGTGGACTAAATTTGCTAATCGTTAGTTGGATGGTACACTCGACTAATACTGGATTTTTGAGGTTGTGATAGTTGTTGTTTTTTTTACATTGACACATAACAGACAGCAATTTTTTCATTTTTAAGACTTGTGAGAAGGTTTAAATATAAAATTGTCAGGGCTCTGTGGTGAAGCTTAAAACTAATGTGGCATTTCTGTACTGCAACTTCTTGTTACTTATCGGCCAACATATTCACCGAAACCGAGATATCTCCAATAAGCTATTGACCGATGTATCGGCCGAGATTGGGCTGGCAAATGTATTTATTTACAGACACTACTGAGCCTCTTTCAAATATGTCCCTGTGAGGTAATGGTAAACACTCCCTTAGACTAGATGTCCATATATTTAGTCTAGATTGAGGACTTTAAGAATACTGTATTCCAGCTATCGCAGAACTGTCCAATCATTTCATTTGGCCCAAATCTTCCACAAGCTGCTAGCTTGACAGCTGTGAGTACTAATAATGGCAATTTTCGTAGTTTACAATCATAATGATAATTTAGTGGGAGTGGCTTTGGAGGTACGGCCTGCCGACTAGGCAACTTTCACGCCAGATTTTGTGACTTTTGGGAGCTAGTGCTGCTAGCTACTTTCATCGGAGAAGAATTAGCAACACTGGGATAGGTTATTAAGGTGCGCTTTAAACATAAATAACGTACGGGAACAACCAGTCCTGTTTGATTAGCTTTTGGCACTGGCGCAATGGGAAGAATGAGAGAGCTAACTTGCAATTAAAACCAAAGCTCAGCTTTGTTCACCACAAACCTGTTTTTTTGCATATGTAAATACGGCTAATTAACTTGAGATAAATACCGCTTTGATTAAAAAGGCAACCGTTTTGAAGAAACGTCTCCTTCCTGTTTTGTAGTTAGAACCATTGAGAGCAATTGTAAAAATCCTGCCATTTGATGAGAATATTGTGCTGCAGACCACGTTGCCATACTTTAATGTTGTACTGTCATACTCTATGGAGACCACTGGGTTAGCCCTTAGTGGTCTTGTAAAAAACGATAATTGCTCTTCAATTGAATGACTCACTTCATGGAGATGGGACAGCCCCAATAACACCAGCCAACAAAAATAATCTGGAGAGAAGGCTTTCCAAATTTACTAAAACCACAATCCACCATTGTAATGAGATCTTGTCACCTTGGAAAATACGAACTTGTCTCATTAAGTGTAACAAACTGTAGCGGAGATGAAATGGGAGGGTCAAATAATTAGTTTCACACATATTCTCACATTGTGTTAGAACGGAAAGAGTGAAACAAACCCGTTTAATTGTGTGTTGATCTTGAGATCAACCCCCGCCCCTAACGGATGCCCAGGGGTCCCCGGTGCCCCAGCTTTGGAAACATTGAGGCACTACACTGGTGGAATCCGCAGCTTTAACTCTGTCTAACTAATGTTTCCTCAGATGTTGGCTGCCTAACATTCAACTTTTTCCGCGAAAATAATAGCCGTTAAATGCAGGCAGGCACGTGTTTTCTAACAACTAATAGACGTTACTCCCCTCAAGCTGACAGTTACTAAACGTTACTCCCCTCGAGCTGACCGTTACTAACGTTACTCTCCTCAAGCTGACCGCTACTAACGTTACTCCCCTCGAGCTGACAGTTACTAAACGTTACTCCCCTCGAGCTGACCGTTACTAACGTTACTCCCCTCGAGCTGACCGTTACTAACGTTACTCCCCTCAAGCTGACAATTACTAACGTTACTCTCCTCAAGCTGACCGCTACTAACGTTACTCCCCTCGAGCTGACCGTTACTCCCCTCGAGCTGACCGTTACTAACGTCACTCACGCGAGTTAAACTGCATTAGCTATAGCTCGTAGGTGCTTTGGCGTTACTTAGCTAGCAGTTTTACATGATTAAACGTTAGTTGAACTTCAGACACGCTAACGAGGCTAACTTAGCTTAGTGTAACGAGCTAATCTGACTAGTGCGCTAGCTGGCAGAGTGAAACAATGAGCTCAGAGTGAGGCTTGGCTAGCTTTGCTGCTGCTGCATGCTGTGTGTAGGCTACATGGTGTAAAGCTAGTGAGCTCGCTTTGCACGCAAGGCTAACGTTAAGTGGCTAACGAATCGTAGCACTATCAACAATGAGAGAGAGAGAGAGAAATGTAGTAACTTACCGACTTAGCTAGCCACTCCTATTCCAAACCCTGGTCTGCCCATGGTGGCGTGCACTCCATAAAAAAAAGAACAAATCAGAGTGTAAATTTGAATAAAACCTCTAGAGAAACCTGAAGCACTAGAAACCAGTGGCAGCGCACTCCCCAAGACATCCAACACAAGAGAGGAGGCCAGCGATTCACTGGACTTCTGCCATCACACTTCGTGATACCGTCCTCATCGAAAACAACCACAGTCCGGAGGGCATTTTATTTTTTTTATCGGTTCCGTCTCAAGTCCAGTCTCCTCCAGCGACCTTCTTGGATATTAATCCCACAGCGAACCTTTTACCATCCAGGTTAATTCCTCCGTATTCACCGTTTTGTGGATGAGTGTCGTGGTGGTTCTTCGTGTGGGAACTGATACAATGTAGCCAACCAGCGGCAGTGGGAGCGGGGAGGAAACCCAGGAGGAGGAGCAGCTCCAGTCGGATTGAACTGTCACCACACTCCACAGAGCACTGGGGGTTAAGACGTGGAACTGGATCACCCACTCTGAGTGGACTGTGATTTAATTCGTCTGTTGTCAGAGAGGAATATCCACCAGCTCGTCTAACTGCAGTAGTGGAATAAGTAAAAATACTCCATTTCAAGAAAAAAAAAAAAAAAAAAGTATTATATTTAAAATGCCACTTAAGTATAAAGTAGCCTACAAAAGTATTTTCAGGAAAATGTACTTAACGTATCAAAAGTACCCCACTCGTTATGCACCGTGTTATGTTATTATAGAATATTATATTATTCTGTTTCTAAAACTAACGTATGTGTGTACGATCAAGATCAAGTAACTATAAATGTCAAATAAATGAAGTGGAGTAGAAAGCAGCATAACACAGGAATACTCAAGTAAAGTATGCCCAAATATATGTAAAGTATTTGAGTAAATGCAATGAATTACATTAGTACAAACAATGTTGAATTCCTGATCTTTTACTTACTTAGTAAAAGTACTAATACCACACTGGAAAAAATACTATATTACAAATAAAAGTCCTGCATTGAAAATGGCACTTATAAAGTAATCAAGTAAAAGATACTCAATGAAGGCAAGGAGGATAAACACCAGCCAAAGGTCAAAACCTGGCAACCCAAACATTGTTCTTATTATTAGGCCTTAATGTAACCGATCCAAAAAAGCCCCTAATAGATCATTAATAAACATTAATAAAGGTGTTTACAGTAGAAACCATGTATGAATGGTGTGTTATTAGAAAGTGGTAAACACTTAATGAAACATAATCCGTTACACGCTGTAAATACATTTTGTTTAGAGACTGAATGTAATCACGAACACACTGAAGGAAACATTCTTTGTTGATATCATCTGTAAATAATTGCTGGTTTCGCTTCCTTCCAACCGCATCAAATGTGCATCTTGTTGAATGTCAACACTTTTAAAACTCTTGATTCCACAAAAAGAAAACAATGCTTCTAGGTTAAAACTTGATCTTCACACTTCAGGGCAAATTGAACATGTTAACTCTGCGACTATATAAGCCGTGTTCTAATTTCCCTGAACTGAGAGGGAATATCTCTGAGAACAGTGAGCCAGAAAAAATAAAAAGCTTCCAACAACGAGACCCTTTCATTTATGTTAGGATTCCGACTCTCGCCGCTCCACGGATAACCTTTCATGTTCACGAGCTTCAAACACCATGAAGGATTTAAGTCGTTGTCTCTCTCAGCACCGGTTTCCCAGGCAACAAGAATATGATAATGTTGCCTTTGACATGACAGAAGGAATCATCTCGCTAGCAAACAGAGACAACAGGCACGGGGAGGGCTGGAGGGGGAGGGGTGGTGGTGGTGGTGGTGGGGGGGGGGGGGGCTGAATTAATGGACTCATTTTCACACAGAGGGGGAAAAGCAGCAGCAGCAGTTACTCACCATCCTCCATCTTCCTCTATTGCCTCCAATGCATTCCTGCTGGCAGGCACACTCATGCCTTCCCCCAGGGAACAGCCGGCCTCCATTGGAGAGCTAAATAACAGTCAGAGGCAAGTGGGGGACTGGAGGGGGGACAGATTTCTGATGATGACTGCCCTTCAATGCCGAGGCTCCAAAAACCCAAGTGCTCTCGTTGCTGAGCGTCGTACCAACTTAAAAAAAAAAAAGAAATGTACAAGCTGAAATGTACAAGCTGTGTGGACGCCATGTGTTTTCCATCAGTGGAAAAAAAAGGGGCTAATCAGCCAGCCATGTGGAATCACAGAGGGGCTGGCTTGATTCGTGTGATCATCTTTCCATTACTCTATAAAAGAAGCTGTAAAGCCCTGAAACCCATGTGAGAGAGACTTGCTCTTTGGCACATGTTTGGATTAAAGATCTGTGTCACATTCATGAACACCAGTAACATATACAGTAGAATAAAGTGATACTATATCAAATAAACTAATTCGAGGACAAATCATAGAATATGATGTAGTACTGAAGCAGTATTAATAGATTTCACAGATTCAAACAAAAATGTTTTTACCATGACCCAATACATTTCCATTCTCCAGACTGATATGGCACAGAGCATTCGATTTTTCTTCTGCATTACATCTGCTTGTGTTTTCTGGAGGCATGTCTTTAGGGACGGCCGTCCATCAGTCCGATGATGAGACGGTCGATCGGTCCACCACTTTGGTCCAGACTGAAATGTCCCATTATTGTGTACAGACGTGCATGGTCCCCAGAGGATAATTCCTGATCCACTGACTTGCCCTCTAGCACCAAGGTTCACATTTTTGATTTTGAGTGAATCATCTCAACAATTATTACATTGTTAACCATGACATTTGGTGCAGCCATTCATTATCCCCAGTGGATGAACCTCAATTACTTTGGTGATCCCCAGACCTTTCCTCTGCACCACCACTATGTTGACTTGTTTGTTTCATTTTTATTTATTTTTTGTGAAATATATCAACAACTATTGGATGGATGGCCATGAAATTTGTGTGCAAACATTCATGCCCTCCTCAGAGTAAATCGTATTAACTTATCTTTACATCTAGCGTCACCATCAGGTCCATTTTCTTTATTTGTTCAATACTTAGATTTATGATAAAATACCTGCAAAACAAATACCTTTCCCATCGGCTTCAGCTGTACTTTGTGTTTACTGCTAATTAGCAAATGTTAGCATGCTAAAGTGCTAACTGAAGATGGTAAACATGGTAAACATTGTCCCTTCAGGGATCCTCCAACATTTTATTTGAGTGTCCGTATTTAAATTTCACCATTGCAAGAAAAAAGTAATCCACGAGTGTCTTTTATATTGGAAGAGAATAAGTGAACGAGTGAGCGACAGCCACAGTCTCGTTACAGGATATTCAGATGGAGAGGGAGAGGAGTCGTATGTTTGTTTCTCTCCCCTGTGGGGTTTTTATTGTATGGTTACAGCCATGCAAACAGCAGCGAAGGTCTTCTACCATTAGTGCTTAATGGATGGGAGTCATGCAGACAACCACACGCATTACGCTTAGCAGGAATAATTCTTCGTGAACATGAGATCGACCAAGGGGAGAGAATTAATCAACAATGAACAGTAATGTCAATAAAGTAATAATGGATACATTTAGCTGAGGAGATTATTTTAAAGCCAAGTCGTAAGACAGATGTGGTTTCTAGACAACTCTTGGGACAAATATGTGACTTGAATATCGCAGAAAAAATGAGGATTCACAGATTATTAAAAACATATAAATTTGTCTTTTTAATGTTATGTGTCCGTCTTGGATCAAGTATGAAATGAATGCCATTTTTTTTACTCCATCTTATTTGGGACAAATTGAGGATTTGACCCAATTAGTTAAACAGAAATCGTACCACAGTCATGAAGCATTGCATCTCTGCATGTAACGCATCTAGAAGGAAATATTTATTGTTAGTATCGTGAGTATATGGTATTTCTTTCTGAACATTTTCTTTTCTTGTCTCTCCAAATTGTTATTTTGTCATAAACCTATATCTGTCATATCATTACATTTGAACAGTCACGAGAATAAGAACGCGTTGTGTAAGCCTGCGGCAAAACCGGGTTTGAATTTATTGTCGATCATATAGCAATATGCTAATAGATAATCCAGAGTAATCATGTTATGTATCTGTTACAGTGCCTGCTCAGAAGAAAACAGAGCACTGGAAGGGACTATTTTACATATTCAAGAGACTAAAGCTTGACAAATCACTATGTTCAGAGATTTAGCCCTCGTGACAGGAGAGGCATTGAAGACAGACTATCATCTGAACTGTCTTCTGTGTGGCGTCATGTGTGTTAAAAAGCTCAGAGAAGCTATGAAGATGTTCTGGTGGGGCGACAGGCATTAATGCGAACACACAGGAGTCTCTTTAGTTAGGAGTTTCTATTATTTCACTGGATGTTTCTGTAGTACTCTCCTTGGAAAATCAATGTGGCCATAATTGTAAATATACCCTGCAAAATGTGTGTTGTTACAGGTACTGACTCATTCAGCAAGGTCACAAGGTCCTGGACTGAATTGATCACTTATCAGTGGATCTCTAGAAATGGCAGCAAGTGAAAGCCATTTGTGATGGGAAATCCATTTTTAATTGAATTTATGCATCTGCTCTCCCTTTGAGGACTCACAATCATTTTTCTTGTCAAGCCAGAAGCCTTTTTGTAAAGTCGTTTGGCTCTCCGTCCGTGTGCAGCCTTTACGAATATTTGCACAACGAAGATCTCCTTTGATCGGTCATTTGTGGGAACGAAGGTAATTTATGGAACAGACATTGACATTGCCCACCCCTCAAGGGCAAACAGGTCTTAGCTCCTCGTGAAGAGAGAACACAAACAGACATTCACATCTTAGATCTCGCTCTCCGCATTTCGCTCACTTGCCTTGAAGGGTGGAAGCTTTCAAAGGTTCATGTGCTTCCCCTCCTCAGACGGGGCCCACCATGTACCTGTGGACTAACCAAAGTCGACGAGCCATGACACTCTGGAGACCGTACAAAGGCATTCTGCTCTATTTAGCTACTCCATGAAGACTAGTTCCTACAGGAAGGTATCCTATCAGGTCATTGTAGATAGGATTCACACAGGACCGTGAACAGAAACAGCTGGCCTGGTGCTGTCCCGTTTCCAGTATTTGTGCTAAGCTAAGCTAACTGGCTCCAGCTACATAATTATCCTACCAACATGAGAGCGGTGTCAATCTTCTTATCCATCTCTCTGCAGTTTTTCCCGAAACTATTCCTTTCACTTATCTTCAGTTCCCCATAGTGCTGAGATCACTTCCTGTTGGTGTGTAAACGCTGAGGTGCTGTATGTGTGAAGTGCCGAGATGTTGAGCTGTTGAGGGTGATGAGTGACCATGGTGATGATATCAATGCATCAGATTCTGCTGTCAAATCGCCTTCAATGAGCCACATACTGACAATATCCTTTTTCGAAATATTTCCTTTGTACAGCCACCCTGGCTCGACAGGCAAGCGCTCTGAGACGCATCACGAGATGGATGAGCCACAAGCTGTTCTCAGGTTGTATTGTTCCCCAGCCTGCCGCCACCTCTTCTAAAGTGCTCCAAAGCCTAATTCCTCTTCCAGGCCTGTGGGGATGGGGGATGGGACCCTGCGCCCTCAGTCCAATCAGTCTCTCAGCAAGCACACAAAGGTCCTGCTGCTTCTACAACAGGAAACTTGGCTTGGTGGTGAGGAAGGCACACTGCTGGACTGGAGTCAATTGCATTTAATTTCAATCAGGAGATTCAGCTGGGCATCTTTTTCAGCCCAAATGATTAATAAACACATTACCATTTTATGTCTAATTTAATTTAAAACCTTGGCTAGCCGGATGAAAGTCAGATGGATTTTAAATGCCGTTCTTATTGGTGCTCAAAATTAGATGTCGCCCTGCGTGTAACATTCCTTCATCCACTCTGATTCGTCTGCCTTCTTCTCTCCACTAGCGTCATTAACAGCAGAGTGGATTGTTTGTGATGGAGCAGAAGAAGCCTCAGGCACAACGATAGAACATAGAAAACACCACTGATAGCTGTTATTTAAAGAAAAGGTTTTATATTTCGTGAAATACGCTTATTTGCTTTGTGGTGGAAAATTAGATAAGAATTTTGATACCACTCGCATACAGTCAGCAGCCTGTTAGCTTAGCACAAAGACTGGAATCAGGGGGAATCGGATAGCCTGGCTGCCTATTTTATCTATTTCGCAAGGGCATCATCGCTGCATCCACCGCCCAAGATGATCGTGATTGTTTTTAAGAAATACTGGTAGTGTGTGGATCCAGAGCCATAGGTCTAGTCCAAAGGAAACAAAATCCACCAACCAGCACCTCTAAAGCTCTTCGATTAACACGTTACTGCTTGTCCGTTTAATGCTTAATAAAAATTCAAGTGCAAAAGCAACATTTGTGGTTTTACAGGGTGTTATGTGTCGCACTATTTTTATTTTATTTTTTATCTTGAGCAGAGACTTATGAGTGAGCATTAGAGGTGCTGTTGGGTGTATTTTTTTAAAAACAGGCTAACCGTTTCCCAGTTCCCAGTTTTTATGCTACGCTAAGCTAACTGGCTCCTGGCTATAGCAACATACTTAACAGACAGTGGTATAACTAACTTACTCTCTGCCAGGAATCAAATAAGCGTATTCATCAATGATTTGCAGATAACTGCTGCAGCTCACTGTAGCTCAGACAACATGGCTGTTTTCATATTTAAATGGGTCACCTACAGCATTTCTTCCATACAAGTACATCACATCTTTTGTGCGTGGAAAAACCAACAACACATGATCTCAT